CCGTGGGTTGTCGGCTGTGCCAGGCTAGGTGCAGGAGGTGGTCACGGAGACGGACCCAGGTCACGTGGGTTGCTGGCTGTGCCAGGCTAGGTGCAGGACGAGGTCACGGAGACGGACCCAGGTCCCGTGGCTTGCCGGCTGTGCCAGGCTAGGTGCAGGACGAGGTCACGGAGACGGACCCAGGTCACGTGGGTTGCCGGCTGTGCCGGGCTAGGCGCAGGACGAGGTCACGGAGACAGACCCAGGTCACGTGGCTTGCCGGCTGTGCCAGGCTAGGTGCAGGACCCCCCCCCGGGTCGCAAGCCGCGCGCCCGAGTGGCTGCGCAATGTGACCCCCTGCGAGTGACCTGGGCACGCGGTGCGAGTGGCCGCGTTGATTAATTGATCGCTCGCTCGCTCGCTCATTGGCGTGCGAGAGACGGACAGTGTGTGGCGAGCAGGGGAAGAGGGAGGGCGGGAGAGAGGGTGAGCGGGGGTCTGTCCGCCTGCGTCCATCCCGCCTCGTCCTCCCCCCACCCCCACCCTCCCCCCCACCCCACCCTCCCCTCCGTCTCTGCGGGAGTTTTAACGAGCAGACTCGCCCGCTCGCCCATTTTGTCAATGAACTCGCTCGCCCACCCGCTCGGCCAATCGCTCGCCCACCCGTTTGCCCGTCTGCTCGCTCGCTCGCTCGCCCGCCCAGCCAGCCAGTCAGCCAGCCAGCCACTCGCCCGCCCATTCACCCTATCCGCAGTGGTTTGTTGCTGACCATCAAACAGAGACGCTGGTCACCGCATTGCGCGGCGATTTCAGCCGTCTGGAACGCTCTTCCCTTCCGATATTCGGAAGGCACTGGGAGTTATGCACTTTTAAATCGCCATCTATGTTGATGAACTAATTTGTTTAGAACTGCTTTTTGTGTTTAGTTTGTGGACCCGCATAGACCCATAGACTCGCACAGAGACCCGTAGACTCACATAGACCCATAGACTCACACAGAGACCCGTAGACTCACATAGACCCATAGACTCACACACAGACCCATAGACTCGCACAGAGACCCGTGGACTCACATAGACCCGTAGACTCACATAGACCCATAGACTCACACAGAGACCCGTAGACTCGCACATAGACCCATAGACTCACACAGAGACCCGTAGACTCGCACAGAGCCCGTAGACTCGCACAGAGACCCGTAGACTCGCACAGAGACCCGTAGACCCACACAGACCCAGTGACTCGCACAGAGACCCATAGACTCGCACAGAGACCCGTAGACTCGCACAGAGACCCGTAGACTCGCACAGAGACCCGTAGACTCGCACAGAGACCCGTAGACCCACACAGACCCAGTGACTCGCACAGAGACCCGTAGACTCACACAGAGACCCGTAGACTCACATAGACCCATAGACTCACACAGAGACCCGTAGACTCACATAGACCCATAGACTCACACAGACCCGTAGACTCACATAGACCCATAGACTCACAGAGACCCGTAGACTCACATAGACCCATAGACTCACAGAGACCCATAGACTCACAGAGACCCATAGACTCACAGAGACCCATAGACTCGCACAGAGACCCGTAGACTCACACAGAGACCCGTAGACTCACACAGAGACCCGTAGACTCGCACAGAGACCCGTAGACTCGCACAGAGACCCGTAGACTCGCACAGAGACCCGTAGACTCGCACAGAGACCCGTAGACTCGCACAGAGACCCGTAGACTCGCACAGAGACCCGTAGACTCGCACAGAGACCCGTAGACTCGCACAGAGACCCGTAGATTCGCACAGAGACCCGTAGATTCGCACAGACTCATAGACTCACACATAGACCCAGAGACTCGCACAGAGACCCGTAGACTCGCACAGAGACCCGTAGACTCGCACAGAGACCCGTAGACTCGCACAGAGACTCATAGTTTGTTATCCTTACTCCCACCTTTTCACACTCATCCACTCGCTCATCCATGAACTCACTCGCTCACCCACCCAGCCAGCCATATTCCTGCTCTCTCGCCAACCCATCCATAGATTCACTCGCTCACTCCTCACCCGATGACCCAATTATCGGCTCACCCAGCCTGCCATTTGCCTGCTCACTCACCCATCCAGCTGCCTGTGCATCGGTCTGCCGCCAGGAGGCGGCGGTGATTAGTGCCGTGACGAGATCCCAGTTGGGGGGGAATTTGCGGTGTAACGTTTCATTGGCTGATGTGGGTTTGGCCGATAGCAGTTCCACCGTGGGTGTGGGTTTAGCTATGGGAGGAGGGAAGTGGTGAACACGGAACAAATCCCCATTGCAGAACAGGGAGAGTGGAAACAAGCTCCACACACTCACTCACACTCGCTCACCTACTCACTCACCTACTCACTCACACTCACCTACTCACACTCACTCACCTACTCACACTCACTCACCTACTCACACTCACTCACCTACTCACTCACTCACCTACTCACTCACTCACCTACTCTCACTCACTCACCTACTCACACTCACTCACCTACTCACACTCACCTACTCACTCACTCACCTACACACACTCACTCACCTACTCACTCACTCACCTACTCACACTCACCTACTCACACTCACCTACTCACACTCACCTACTCACACTCACTCACCTACTCACTCTCACTCACCTACTCACTCACCTACTCACACTCACCTACTCTCACTCACCTACTCACACTCGCCTACTCACACTCACCTACTCACACTCACCTACTCACACTCACCTACTCACACTCACTCACCTACTCACACTCACCTACTCACACTCACCTACTCACACTCACCTACTCTCACTCACCTACTCACACTCACCTACTCACACTCACCTACTCACACTCACCTACTCACACTCACCTACTCACACTCACCTACTCTCACTCACCTACTCACACTCACCTACTCACACTCACCTACTCACACTCACCTACACACTCACCTACTCACACTCACCTACTCACACTCACCTACTCACACTCACCTACTCACACTCACCTACTCACACTCACCTACTCACACTCACCTACTCACACTCACCTACTCACCTACTCACACTCACCTACTCACACTCACCTAGCTAGCTTCTCACCTACTCACACTCACTCACCTACTCACACTCACCTACTCACACTCACCTACTCACACTCACCTACTCACACTCACCTACTCACACTCACTCACCTACTCACACTCACTCACACTCACCTACTCACACTCACCTACTCACACTCACCTACTCACTCACTCACTCACCTACACACACTCACTCACCTACTCACACACTCACCTACTCACACTCACCTACTCACACTCACTCACCTACTCACTCACCGACTCACCTACTCACACTCACCTACTCACACTCACCTACGCACACTCACCTACTCACTTACACTCACCTACTCGCACTCACCTACTCACTTACACTCACCTACTCACACTCACTTACCTACTCACCTACTCACACTCACTCACCTACTCACACTCACTCACCTACTCACCTACTCACACCCACTCACCTACTCACACTCACCTACTCACACTCACCTACTCACACTCACCTACTCACACTCACCTACTCACACTCACCTACTCACACTCACCTACTCACACTCACCTACTCACACTCACCTACTCACCTACTCACACTCACCTACTCACACTCACCTACTCACACTCACCTACTCACACTCACCTACTCACACTCACCTACTCACTCACCTACTCACACTCACCTACTCACACTCACCTACTCACACTCACTCACCTACTCACACCTACTCACTCACACTCACCTACTCACACTCACTCACCTACTCACACCTACTCACTCACTCACTCACCTACTCACACTCACTCACCTACTCACCTACTCACACTCACTCACCTACTCACACTCACCTACTCACACTCACCTACTCACACTCACCTACTCACACTCACCTACTCACACTCACCTACTCACACTCACCTACTCACACTCACCTACTCACACTCACCTACTCACACTCACCTACTCACACTCACCTACTCACTCACCTACTCACACTCACCTACTCACACTCACCTACTCACACTCACTCACCTACTCACACCTACTCACTCACACTCACTTACTCACACTCACTCACCTACTCACACCTACTCACTCACACTCACCTACTCACACTCACTCACCTACTCACACCTACTCACACTCACTCACCTACTCACACTCACTCACCTACTCACCTACTCACACTCACTCACCTACTCACACTCACCTACTCACACTCACCTACTCACACTCACCTACTCACAGTCACACTCACCTACTCACACTCACCTACTCACACTCACCTACTCACACTCACCTACTCTCACTCACCTACTCACACTCACCTACTCACACTCACCTACTCACACTCACCTACTCACACTCACCTACTCACACTCACCTACTCTCACTCACCTACTCACACTCACCTACTCACACTCACCTACTCACACTCACCTACTCACACTCACCTACTCACTCACCTACTCACACTCACCTACTCACACTCACCTACCCACACTCACTCACCTACTCACACCTACTCACTCACACTCACTTACTCACACTCACTCACCTACTCACACCTACTCACTCACACTCACCTACTCACACTCACTCACCTACTCACACCTACTCACACTCACTCACCTACTCTCACACACACTCACCTACTCACTCACACTCACCTACTCACACTCACCTACTCACACTCACTCACCTACTCACACTCTGCAGAAAAAGGTGGAGAGCAAACAAGCTCCACTCACACTCAATCACTCACATTCGGTGAGTGATTGAGAGTGACGGCGATGACGATGGTGGCTTTGACGATGGTGGCTTTGACGATGGTGACGATGGCGGCGTTGATGATGATGATGATGGTGGCGATGACGATGGTGTTGTGTGTCCTATCTCGACCCTTCCCTATCTCCCTTCCTCACCCCACACAGGTGTCGAACCTGGGCACTGAAGATGGCGAGCGAAATGCAGGAGATCCAGATCACCGAGGCCAAGCCTCTGCTGCTGGAGAAGGATGCTGCCGGGGTGAGGAATGGTGGTGGGGATGGTGGTCGTGGTGATGGTCGTGGCGGTGGCGGTGGTGTTGGTGGTGCTGCTGCTGCTGATGGTGCTGCTGCTGGTGGCGGTGGTGACAGCGGTGGTGTAGGTGGTGGTGGTGGTGGTGCTGCTGGTGATGGTGTTGCTGCTGATGGTGGTAGTGCTGGTGATGATGATGATGATGATAGTATTGATGGTGGTGCTGCTGGTGCTGCTGCTGCTGGTGGTGGTGGTGGTAATTGTGATGGTGGTAGTCGTGATGGTAGTGGTGTAGGTGGTGTTGTAGGTGGTGATGATGCTGCTGGTGGTGTTGGTGGTGGTAATCGTGATGGTGGTAGTCGTGATGGTGGTAGTCGTGATGGTAGTGGTGTAGGTGGTGTTGTAGGTGGTAGGTGGTGATGATGCTGCTGGTGGTGTTGGTGGTGCTGCTGGTGGTGCTGCTGGTGGTGGTGGTGGTGGTGCTGCTGGTGGTGGTGGTGCTGCTGGTGGTGGTGGTGCTGCTGGTGGTGGTGCTGCTGGTGGTGGTGGTAGTCGTGATGGTGGTAGTCGTGATGGTAGTGGTGTTGGTGGTGGTGGTGGTGGTGGTGCTGGTGGTGGTGGTGCTGCTGGTGGTGGTGCTGCTGGTGGTGGTGCTGCTGGTGGTGGTGCTGCTGGTGGTGGTGGTGCTGGTGGTGGTGGTGCTGCTGCTGGTGGTGGTGGTGGTGCTGCTGCTGGTGGTGGTGGTGGTGCTGCTGGTGGTGGTGGTGGTGGTGCTGCTGGTGGTGGTGGTGCTGCTGGTGGTGGTGGTAATCGTGATGGTGGTAATCGTGATGGTGGTAGTCGTGATGGTGGTAGTCGTGATGGTAGTGGTGTAGGTGGTGCTGATAGTGGTGCTGATGATGATGGTGGTGCTGATGGTGGTTGTGGTGCTGCTGCTGGTGGTGTTGCTGCTGGTGGTGCTGCTGGTGATGTTGTTGGTGCTGTTGGTGGTGCTGTTGTTGGTGGTGCTGCTGGTGGGGCTGCTGGTGGGGCTGCTGGTGGTGGTGCTGGTGGTTTTGGTGATGGCGGTGGTGATGGCGGCGGTGACGGCGGTGGTGTTGGTGGTGGTGGTGGTGATGGTGGTGCTGCTGATGGTGGTCGTGGTAGTGCTGGTGATGATGATAGTATTGATGATGGTGCTGGTGCTGCTGGTGGTGCTGCTGGTGGTGTTGGTGGTGGTAGTCGTGATGGTAGTGGTGTAGGTGGTGATGCTGCTGGTGCTTGTGGTGGTGGTGATGGTGGTGATGGTAATGGTGGTGGTGGTGGTGCTGCTGCTGGTGGTGCTGATGGTAGTGGCGGTGGTGACAGCGGTGATGGCGGTGGTGTAGGTGGTGGTGTTGCTGCTGATGGTGGTAGTGCTGGTGATGATGATAGTATTGATGGTGGTGGTGCTGCTGCTGGTGGTGGTGCTGCTGCTGGTGGTAGTGGTGATGGTGGTGGCGATGGTGGTTGCTGGTGGTGGTTCTGGTCGATACCACCGGGATAAGGACTTCCCACACTGGCCACTAGGTGGCTCACAGTGGCCGTGTCGCAGCCACTCCGAAATGAGATTTCAAACGACGCACTGCAGAGGGCGGTGTTGGTTGTGGTGTCGGTGGTGGCTGCAGTTACGGTGGTGGTCGTGGCGGTGGCTGTGTGGGTGTCGGTGGTGGTGTCTGGCGTCGGCGGCGGTAGTGTTGGTAGTGGCAGTGTCTGTGGTGGCGGTGTCTACGGTTGCTGTGGTGGGTGTGGCGGTGTCGGTGGTGGTGTCGGTGGTGGTGGTGTTGGTAGTGGCAGTGTCTGTGGTGGCGGTGTCTACGGTTGCTGTGGTGGGGGGTGTCGGTGGTGGTGTCGGTGGTGGTGGTGTCGGTGGTGGTGGTGGTGTCGGTGGTGGTGTTGGTAGTGGCAGTGTCTGTGGTGGCGGTGTCGACGGTTGCTGTCGCGGGGGTGGTGGTGGGGTCGGTGGAGGTGGTGTCTGGCGGTGGCGGTGGGTGGCGGTGTCTGGCGGTGGCGGTGTCTGGCGGTGGCGGTGTCTGGCGGTGGCGGTGTCTGGCGGTGGCGGTGTCTGGCGGTGGCGGTGTCTGGCGGTGGCGGTGTCTGGCGGTGGCGGTGTCTGGCGGTGGCTGTGGTGGGGGGTTATTGCACTGCGCTACGAACCCGGCGACCCGAGTTCGATTCCCACTCGCGGCCGACACCAGTGATGAATATCTGAACTGGTCCTGAACCTTCCCTAGGTGGACTCGGTGTCAAATAGGTGCCTGGTGCGGCGTGTAAACATCGCCACTGGGGAGGCAAAGGCGGCCAGGTGTGGTGCTGGCCACCCACCCACCCCCTCCCGTCGTGTGCTGAGCCGGCCTTCATAGGTGCCACTTGCTAACAGCACTTGCCCCGACAGTTTGTTAAAGCTACACGAGGGGTTTCTTTGTCTTTGTGTGTGTCCAGGGTCCAGAGGTGACTGGACAGCCGTTTCAAGACATCAATTGCCAGGTGAGATGCTTAGACATTTAGCCAGGGCAGCTGAGTTACCTGGGTTGTAGCCCTGGGTCTTGGTGTCTCTCTTTCTTTGTCTCTGACTCAAGGAGGTTCATAATGGCTGTGTCTGGGTTTGTCTGTGGGTCCATAATGGACGTGTCTGGGTCTGTCTGTGGGTCCATAATGGCTGTGTCTGGGTCTGTCTGTGGGCCCATAATGGACGTGTCTGGGTCTGTCTGTGGGTCTATAATGGCTGTGTCTGGGTCTGTCTGTGGGTCTATAATGGCTGTGTCTGTCTGTGGGTCTATAATGGCTGTGTCTGGGTCTGTCTGTGGGTCTATAATGGCTGTGTCTGGGTCTATAATGGACGTGTCTGGGTCTGTTTGTGGGTCCATAATAGCTGTGTCTGGGTCTGTCTGTGGGTCCATAATGGACGTGTCTGGGTCTGTCTGTGGGTCTATAATGGCTGTGTCTGAGTCTGTCTGTGGCTCCATAATGGCTGTCTGGGTCTGTCTGTGGGTCCATTATGGCTGTGTCTGGGTCTGTCTGTGGGCCCATAATGGCTGTGTCTGGGTCTGTCTGTGGGCCCATAATGGCTGTGTCTGGGTCTGTCTGTGGGTCCATAATGGACGTGTCTGGGTCTGTCTGTGGGCCCATAATGGACGTGTCTGGGTCTGTCTGGGTCTATAATGGCTGTCTGGGTCTGTCTGTGGGTCTATAATGGCTGTGTCTGTCTGTGGGTCTATAATGGCTGTGTCTGGGTCTGTCTGTGGGTCTATAATGGCTGTGTCTGGGTCTGTCTGGGTCTATAATGGACGTGTCTGGGTCTGTCTGTGGGTCCATAATGGCTGTGTCTGGTTCTGTCTGTGGGTCTATAATGGCTGTGTCTGGGTCTGTCTGTGGGTCCATAATGGACGTGTCTGGGTCTGTCTGTGGGTCTATAATGGCTGTGTCTGGTTCTGTCTGTGGGTCCATAATGGACGTGTCTGGGTCTGTCTGTGGGTCTATAATGGCTGTGTTTGGGTCTGTCTGTGGGTCCATAATGGCTGTGTCTGGGTCTGTCCGTGGGTCCATAATGGCTGTGTCTGGGTCTGTCTGTGGGTCTATAATGGCTGTGTCTGGGTCTGTCTGTGGGTCTATAATGGCTGTGTCTGGGTCTGTCTGTGGGTCTATAATGGACGTGTCTGGGTCTGTCTGTGGGCCCATAATGGCTGTGTCTGGGTCTGTCTGTGGGCCCATAATGGACGTGTCTGGGTCTGTCTGTGGGTCCATAATGGATGTGTCTGGGTCTGTCTGTGGGCCCATAATGGACGTGTCTGGGTCTGTCTGTGGGTCTATAATGGCTGTGTCTGGGTCTGTCTGTGGGTCTATAATGGCTGTGTGTGAGTCTGTCTGTGGGTCTATAATGGCTGTGTCTGGGTCTGTCTGGGTCTATAATGGACGTGTCTGGGTCTGTCTGTGGGTCCATAATGGCTGTGTCTGGGTCTGTCTGTGGGTCTATAATGGACGTGTCTGGGTCTGTCTGTGGGTCTATAATGGCTGTGTCTGGGTCTGTCTGTGGGTCTATAATGGACGTGTCTGGGTCTGTCTGTGGGTCTATAATGGACGTGTCTGGTTCTGTCTGTGGGCCCATAATGGCTGTGTCTGGGTCTGTCTGTGGGTCTATAATGGACGTGTCTGGATCTGTCTGTGGGTCTATAATGGCTGTGTCTGGGTCTGTCTGTGGGTCTATAATGGCTGTGTCTGGGTCTGTCTGGGTCTATAATGGCCGTGTCTGGGTCTGTCTGTGGGTCTATAATGCCTGTGTCTGGTTCTGTCTGTGGGTCTATAATGGACGTGTCTGGGCCTGTCTGTGGGTCTATAATGGACGTGTCTGGGCCTGTCTGTGGGTCTATAATGGCTGTGTCTGGGTCTGTCTGTGGGTCTATAATGGCTCTGTCTGGGTCTATAATGGACGTGTCTGGGTCTGTCTCTGGGTCTATAATGGACGTGTCTGGGTCTGTCTGTGGGTCTATAATGGACGTGTCTGGGTCTGTCTGTGGGTCTATAATGGCTGTGTCTGGGTCTGTCTGTGGGTCTATAATGGCTGTGTCTGGGTCTGTCTGGGTCTATAATGGCTGTGTCTGGGTCTGTCTGTGGGTCTATAATGGCTGTGTCTGGGTCTGTCTGTGGGTCTATAATGGCTGTGTCTGGGTCTGTCTGTGGGCCCATAATGGCTGTGTCTGGGTCTGTCTGTGGGTCTATAATGGCTGTGTCTGAGTCTGTCTGTGGGTCTATAATGGCTATGTCTGGGTCTGTCTGGGTCTATAATGGACGTGTCTGGGTCTGTCTGTGGGTCCATAATGGCTGTGTCTGGGTCTGTCAGTGGGTCTATAATGGACGTGTCTGGATCTGTCTGTGGGTCTATAATGGCTGTGTCTGGGTCTGTCTGTGGGTCTATAATGGCTGTGTCTGGGTCTGTCTGGGTTTATAATGGCCGTGTCTGGGTCTGTCTGTGGGTCTATAATGGCTGTGTCTGGGTCTGTCTGTGGGCCCATAATGGACGTGTCTGGGTCTGTCTGTGGGCCCATAATGGACGTGTCTGGGTCTGTCTGTTGGTCTATAATGGCTGTGTCTGGGTCTGTCTGTGGGTCTATAATGGCTGTGTCTGGGTCTGTCTGTGGGCCCATAATGGACGTGTCTGGGTCTGTCTGTGTGTCTATAATGGCTGTGTCTGGGTCTGTCTGTGGGTCTATAATGGCTGTGTCTGGGTCTGTCTGTGTGTCTATAATGGCTGTGTCTGGGTCTGTCTGTGGGTCTATAATGGCTGTGTCTGGGTCTGTCTGTGGGTCTATAATGGACGTGTCTGGGTCTGTCTGTGGGCCCATAATGGCTGTGTCTGGGTCTGTCTGTGGGCCCATAATGGACGTGTCTGGGTCTGTCTGTGGGTCCATAATGGACGTGTCTGGGTCTGTCTGTGGGTCTATAATGGCTGTGTCTGGGTCTGTCTGTGGGTCTATAATGGCTGTGTGTGAGTCTGTCTGTGGGTCTATAATGGCTGTGTCTGGGTCTGTCTGGGTCTATAATGGACGTGTCTGGGTCTGTCTGTGGGTCCATAATGGCTGTGTCTGGGTCTGTCTGTGGGTCTATAATGGACGTGTCTGGGTCTGTCTGTGGGCCCATAATGGCTGTGTCTGGGTCTGTCTGTGGGTCTATAATGGACGTGTCTGGATCTGTCTGTGGGTCTATAATGGCTGTGTCTGGGTCTGTCTGTGGGTCTATAATGGCTGTGTCTGGGTCTGTCTGGGTCTATAATGGCCGTGTCTGGGTCTGTCTGTGGGTCTATAATGGCTGTGTCTGGTTCTGTCTGTGGGTCTATAATGGACGTGTATGGGCCTGTCTGTGGGTCTATAATGGACGTGTCTGGGCCTGTCTGTGGGTCTATAATGGCTGTGTCTGGGTCTGTCTGTGGGTCTATAATGGCTCTGTCTGGGTCTATAATGGACGTGTCTGGGTCTGTCTCTGGGTCTATAATGGACGTGTCTGGGTCTGTCTGTGGGTCTATAATGGCTGTGTCTGGGTCTGTCTGTGGGCCCATAATGGACGTGTCTGGGTCTGTCTGTGGGCCCATAATGGCTGTGTCTGGGTCTGTCTGTGGGTCCATAATGGCTGTGTCTGGGTCTGTCCGTGGGTCCATAATGGCTGTGTCTGGGTCTGTCTGTGGGTCTATAATGGACGTGTCTGGGTCTGTCTGTGGGCCCATAATGGACGTGTCTGGTTCTGTCTGTGGGTCTATAATGGCTGTGTCTGGGTCTGTCTGTGGGTCTATAATGGACGTGTCTGGGTCTGTCTGTGGGTCTATAATGGCTGTGTCTGGGTCTGTCTGTGGGTCTATAATGGACGTGTCTGGGTCTGTCTGTGGGTCTATAATGGCTGTGTCTGGGTCTGTCTGTGGGTCCATAATGGCTGTGTTTGGGTCTGTCTCTGGGTCCATAATGGCTGTGTCTGGGTCTGTCTGTGGGTCTATAATGGACGTGTCTGGGTCTGTCTGTGGGTCTATAATGGACGTGTCTGGGTCTGTCTGTGGGTCTATAATGGCTGTGTCTGGGTCTGTCTGGGTCTATAATGGACGTGTCTGGGTCTGTCTGTGGGTCCATAATGGCTGTGTCTGGGTCTGTCTGTGGGTCTATAATGGACGTGTCTGGGTCTGTCTGTGGGCCCATAATGGCTGTGTCTGGGTCTGTCTGTGGGTCTATAATGGACGTGTCTGGATCTGTCTGTGGGTCTATAATGGCTGTGTCTGGGTCTGTCTGTGGGTCTATAATGGCTGTGTCTGGGTCTGTCTGGGTCTATAATGGCCGTGTCTGGGTCTGTCTGTGGGTCTATAATGGCTGTGTCTGGTTCTGTCTGTGGGTCTATAATGGACGTGTCTGGGCCTGTCTGTGGGTCTATAATGGACGTGTCTGGGCCTGTCTGTGGGTCTATAATGGCTGTGTCTGGGTCTGTCTGTGGGTCTATAATGGCTCTGTCTGGGTCTATAATGGACGTGTCTGGGTCTGTCTCTGGGTCTATAATGGACGTGTCTGGGTCTGTCTGTGGGTCTATAATGGCTGTGTCTGGGTCTGTCTGTGGGCCCATAATGGACGTGTCTGGGTCTGTCTGTGGGCCCATAATGGCTGTGTCTGGGTCTGTCTGTGGGTCCATAATGGCTGTGTCTGGGTCTGTCCGTGGGTCCATAATGGCTGTGTCTGGGTCTGTCTGTGGGTCTATAATGGACGTGTCTGGGTCTGTCTGTGGGCCCATAATGGACGTGTCTGGTTCTGTCTGTGGGTCCATAATGGACGTGTCTGGGTCTGTCTGTGGGTCTATAATGGCTGTGTCTGGGTCTGTCTGTGGGTCCATAATGGCTGTGTTTGGGTCTGTCTCTGGGTCCATAATGGCTGTGTCTGGGTCTGTCTGTGGGTCTATAATGGACGTGTCTGGGTCTGTCTGTGGGTCTATAATGGACGTGTCTGGGTCTGTCTGTGGGTCCATAA